TGTGCGAAGCATTACTTACCAATTGGCGAAGCAATACTTACCAATGGGTGAAGCATAAACCGAATGACAAAACACAAAAATAGGAATAACGCCAAACCTTTTTTAAAAGGCCAAGCAAACCCCAGTAACATGCAGTGTTCAGGAAAAATATCAATATGGTGATACCTGCAGTTTTCATGTCTTTGCAGTGAAATTTGTCCTTAAAAAAGGTTGACATGTCTAAGATCTAGAATTTCCGTCTTTGTTTTTGATTCTTTATGCCTTTTCAGTTTGTTATTTTTTTAGCAATTTCTGTATTGAAATTATAATTATCAATCAAATTTATGTTGGGTGTATAAGCTTCAGAAAAGGGCAGTCCGTGTAATTTCCTCTGACAACTTTAGCCAATCGTCGTTTGAACTGTTCAAAAAACATAGTATCTTGCCTATCGATTACAGAATTTCATATTTTCTAGGTATCGTAATGTATATGGCAACCAATGGCTTGGCGCCTTTATATATAAGTGAAATGTTCAGTCCTATCTCCCAAACCCCCAAGTATAGTACACGTTCCTCTCTTAAAAATAATTCACGCATTACTAAATGGAAAACTTCCATGGGTCAGAGGACGTTTCAGTATAGAGGGGTAACCCTATGGAATAACTTGCCATTCCATATCAGAAATTCAGCCTCTCTAGGCATTTTTAAGAAAACTTACAAAATTTATCTTAGTGAAAAATTTGTTGTAAATGGCTCAAGCCTATAGTGTGTATATTGTGTTTTTTGTCCCTACAGAGGGCCCAATGAAAATTAATTTATTGTATATTGGCCTACCCTCTTTAAATAAAGTGTTAAATAAAATAAATAAATAAAATATTAGCTCGAAGGTCTGTAGCATAGCACGTTGATATTTTCGGAATCAGAAGATTCCTCTTTCCAACTACTTGTTAGTTTCCGAGTCTGGATTTATTTCCATGTGTCTAGAGTTTGGTCACTGATACAACTTGATAGCTGATTTCTAGTGAATAGCTGATTGACATCATTCAACACGTGCCCATAACCTATCATCATTTAGGTTTATACAAGGTCCTGGACGGAACTCTAGTCAGTGATTGGAACTGATTACCTGATATAAACTTTGCTGACAGACTGTTATTCTTGACAGTTTGGTATGTGTAGTCTCTTACTGTACCGGAAAATTAATCAAGTATATATGACATGTTAAGTACTTCGTGTGATTGGCTACATGCGAGTGGAATGTGTGGAGGCCACACCCCAAGCTCTTAAACTTCCATGTGATAGGTGAAGGTGTTGAGAAGTTAATAAAGCTAGTATTGGGGCAGTCGGGGGGAGTTCTGTGCGAGGCGAGCTAGCCTTAGGCAAGCTCTCCATAGGGCGGCTGAGTATAGGAGTTTCAGGAGTTGACACGAATTCCATCTGTGTGCGTCTTTGCTTGGTTAAAAGTTTGCGAACATAATGATCTCCAGTTACCTGAAATAACGCTAATAAGACAATACTTAAATCGTTTTAGTTCCATCGTGAGTGTCACGTCACTTGCTCAAGTAACTTGCCATGTTGTCGAATTGATAATTGCGTTTTGTAATTTGACAAGACTCACAAACTTTTTTTGGAAGTTGAGACATTGGATGATAAATTGTGTTGTGTAAAACCAGAACATTATTCCTGAGAGTCGAAGGCACAGGTGTAGTTAATACGGAAATCTTGTACCCGAATTGAATCGTGCCTAAAACTAAGTTTGGGGAACTAATCTGAGACCAGGCAGGAAAACGATACAGTAATCTCCCCTTAACCGTCAAAGGGATACGCCCAGATAAAACAGGAGAAATGTCGATAGCCATGCCATTTTCCAGATTCACACTCTTATTTTTTCAAAAACAATTTCAGTTGACCTTTTCTTCATGCATCTCATTTTTTCATTAAACATATTTTCCGTCCTCCATATTCCCCCTCCCTATACTTCCGTCGTAACCCATGTTCCTAGACGTATTATCGTGTTAAAATTATATATTATATACACAAATATTTATGTGGCTGTTTTTAAAAACAAGCTAAGCTAGCTAAAAGTTAGCTTACGCTTGGATGGTACAGTATGCCCACCATACCTTCAATCTTAACAACATAAGATGTCATCATGCAATGTGGTTTTGATTTCTATTGTACATTTAACTAACCTACGAAGTATGAATTCTTACATGAGTTCACTTAGATGTAGTAACTACAGATGTTTAATAGTTGAAATAACAATTTTAGGGGGCCTAAAGGAAAACATACAAGAGAAGAGTGTTCACTGAAAACCAATTCAGTAGGTACTGTTCACATCATTTTTTTTTTAACTTTTTCACCACCCAGTTCTGTTTATAGTATGTACTTTCTTTCAAAATATAAGGGCAAAATTATCTCAATGTTTTGAGTAAAAACTGAAAAGTTACCCAAATTCCTGTTTCCAGAAATATTGAACTATAAGAAAAAAGTACATAATAATTTGGGCGGGAAAGTCTGGTGGTGAAAGTTCAATCACCAGTTAGATATTTACGCATGCAATTCAAATAACTTATATGCCATGAAATGTTACAGTTATCTCTCTAATATTACAGTATAATTGATTGATATGATTTCTATATTGTCTTCATTTATATTTTGTGTTATTCTCATATTAACTTCATACTTTATGATACATTTACATGATATGTATACTTAGATCTTTTTTCAAATACTTAATACTAATAGTGTGCTATTCTGTGCTCCGAGGTTTATTATAGCAGTGACACTTCAAGGTCAAATCATGCTAAAAGGCCTTAACCACATCTTCGTTGTTTCGTCACAAGAAGCGCTGTCTCAGCACAGACCCGTGTCATATGACGCCTCACTAGCCGACTTTGTCATGATTCGATTCGGCGTTCCGCTGTTCTTTCACACTGGTGTTTACACACGAAACTTGATACTTCTTTTTACAATTTAAGATCGCTGTTTAATCACATATTTTAGTGAAATATTGATGTGAGTTAAATATTAATGTCATAGAATTAATTTGTTGAAACAGCAGTAACTAATACACATTAACGATAATAAAATTTGAGTTTGAAGTTTCCCGCGTAATTTCAAGTTTCAAGTAGCTTAAAAAAGAACGCCATTGAACGCAATAAAATCACGCGTAGAACGACTTTCACCCAGGAACTAGCAGCAAAAACTGACTGGAATTTTACGCTATTTTATTTCATTTATCATTGTTTAGTAAAGTAATCACTAAAAAGATTTATTATATCCGAAAAATACGTGCTGATTAGCGATTGACTTTGAAATGATCTTAGTTTTGAGCAAACTCCTGCACGATATATTCGTCAGATCGGTGTGGAAAGGACGCCAACCCGCAGCGCAGTGCCATTTTCGCCAGCCAAAGACCATTTATTCGGCCGAATCCTCACGATTAACCTTTGGTAGATTTCAATACGATTCACTGTATGTCGCACGCGCTTAAACGATTATAAGATTCACTTGGGCTCATCTGCGTCACGAAAGCAACGACCCATTCCTTGGTAAAATTAAAATGTGGAATAAATGACGAGGTCACTGACCATCAAAAGAAAGCGGTTAATGCTGAGGGAAATGAAGTATTTGTTTCGGCAGTTTTGTCAGTTTACTACACCCAGTTTACAAATATTTAGACATTTAGACGACGACAGTACAGCAGTAGTATCGACCGACGCACAGCGGAGATCGATGCGACAGCGTACTGTCTGAGTGCATACTTTGAGGTATCTTCGTAATAACATTATTATACATCTTTTCCTTCCAAGGATACATCATGGGAATGCCGAAATCCAAAACGTTTAGAACTCAATCAGCGAATTTCTTTGTATGGAGTCCGGTCAAACCCTGGTGGCAGCCATGTTTATTTTTATTATTAGATCACGCTTACGCGCGTAATCATCCCATATTTGGAATTCGCATTTCTTAATATGGTAGGATGAAAATACCCCGTAAAATACCGCAAAATTACGGCACGCTGTAACTTATGGCGTTACGGTGGCAGATGTATAATAATAAATCCAGCCGAGACTACATAGTTGGTACATAATCATAACCTGTCTATTCGGATTCGGAAAACCCTTATTTTTAAGTCACTAATGTTTGTAAGCCAATTTAATATTATGTTCTTGCCAAAAAATCAATTGTAATTTTGTACCAAGTTCAGTTTTTCATTTGTTTTTTGTTATGACCAGCCACAATTTTAGAAAATCTCTGAAGTTGTATATTTATTTATTAAAATACTGGATGGTATACGCATGTTAGTTACCGATACCTGGCAGTTTTTATAGGGTTACAAAAGAGCACAATAAAATGAAGTGTATTCAGTGAGTTCGTGAATGAATGAATTATCTATTGGATACGTACTAAGTAATCATTATGAGTATTCAGTGAAATATACACATTGATATTGTAAATGATTAATATGCAAATGAGGTAAAATTATCCCGTGTAGAGATTGTATGCGCAAATTGTATTGCCTAGGTACATTATTGTGTAATATTCAAATACTAAGCCATTCGAAATTACCGTGTAAGTTATAATTATAACACTTTGACAGTGTGTGTAAGGTACAATTTGCTTATATTTCTATTCTAAACGCTTTGCCTCGATTAACAATAAGCTCTTTGGATCGCTAAAACTGTATGTAAGACTGTTGGATTAAACATGTGTCATTTGCACAGCACAGCCTAATACGAGTTTGTGATATTCTACTACGTATTTAGTACAAAGATTGCAAGTTTTCTCGTACACTGTTACACTATGATTGAGATACGTTTAAACCGATGTCCTGCTACTCATGTAATTAACGTTTAATATAAATGCAACGCAAAATACCATATTTCAGACTGATACTTCCAAATATGACAATGACTAGTTTATTACTGTTTTCCTGCTTCTGCATGACCCAGCTGAACAAAAATTGACAAAAGATAAAGTCAAAAATCAAAACTCGAAAAAGATATGAAATGATAGATTATACGATCCTTAATGAGCAGGTCACTATATAATTACGACCATGACCACTGAGTTGAGAGTCTGAAAGCAAACACAAAACAACATTTGCATTTTCTTGACATTCCATCATAGATGTTGACGTTCATTGTCCAATTGAACTGCATTCGTTTTTTCGTCTACATTTATACACTTTTTAAAAAAATAAGACAAATTTATATTCACTGCTGAAACGTTACGACATGAAACTGATGAAAGAATTGGCTCGCCAACTCACATGTCTCTCTCCATTTTCCAGCGGTCCTATCCACTTGTCTAGTCTAGTGACAAAACAAATGACAGGTATGCAATAAACGACATTGAATGTGTATTATATGACACTTGTTTGTAATAAAATGCTTTATAATTGTCACTTGATTTAAAAGCTTTTATAATAAACTAGATAGATATAATTATATAGCATGTGATTGATTCACGTTTTCAGTCATGACACAGAGGATTTTAGAATGTTATACGAGGGGCGTTCAATAATGCCACTGACTCACTTCCAGTTGTGTGATCTAGATGAAATTTTGCATGTGTAATGATTTACATCACTATGTTGCAAAAAACAGCTCTGAACTAATTGTGGTTTCTGATTTACAGATGTTTGAACTGAGTCAGGTGTGAAATTGAGCCAGTTGAGTGTCGCGCAATGATCCGGTTTTTGTATTTGAAAGGACGCACACCAAAGAAGACTTTTGATGAAATGAAAGAAACTTATGGGGATGATACCCCATCATATGACCTTGTAAAACGATGGCATCGTGAATTCAAACATGGCCGGAAGTCTGTGGAAACAGTTCCAAGACACGGTCGTCCCTCTTCTGCCATTGTCCGTCAAGTTGAGGCAGCCATTTTGGAAGACGCAATACTGTTTGCTAAATAGCCCAAGAGGTCAAGATTAGTGCCAGGTCTGTGGAAACAATCATTCATGACCATTTGCATATGCATAAGGTGTCTGCCAGATTGATTCCCAGGTTGCTCACACCTTTCCAGAAGCAAGAACGCGTCGAGTGCTCGAGGATGAATTTGGGGATGTGCCAAGAAGATGAGTGAAAGTTTTTCAAAAGACTGATTACACAGGATGAAACTTGGGTCACTATGATCCAGAGACCAAAGCCCAGTCAGTGCAGTGGAAGCACTTGGACTCACCACCTCCAAAGAAGGCAAGGGTGCAGCCCTTCGCTGGCAAGGTCATGCTCACAGACTTCTGGGACCAGGACGGAGTAGTAATGTCAGATTTCCCGGCAAAAGGAACCTCAATTACAGGAGCCTACTACGATTCACTTTTGATGAAATTAGGAGAAGCTATAAAAATCAAGGGGCGGGGCAAGATCAGCAAAGGTATCTTCCTCCTGCAGGACAACGCCCCGGTCCACAACTCGCATGTCGCCAGATCAAAAGCACGGGTGTGTGGTAATGAAATCCTCCCCCATCCCCTTTACTCTCCTGACCTTGCACCCACTGACTTTCATCTCTTCCCAGCCATAAAGTTGTTTTTGAAAGGAAAGCGTTTCCCAGATGATGCAGCCTTGATTTCTGAAGTTGCGACGTGGTTGGAGGACCTGGGGTGTTCATCAAACGATGGGAGAAATGCATAACTCTTTGTGGTTTCTATGTAGAGAAAGACTAATAACTGTGTCAAGTTTCTTCTGCTATGGGGAAATGGGTCAGGGGCATAACTTATTGAACGCCTGTCGTAAATGGTGCAACACTTACCTAAAACTCACACAGCGGGAATTTTTTTCTATCACAAGGCGTATCATTCCATCCATACCCTTTCTTCCCACTGTAATTAAAAATAGATGAATCGTTGAGTAGGTGGCTTTCAGATACGGAAAACGTAATAAAATAGAACTACCGTTGCTAACTCATATAAAAAAAAACAGTCAGCTTTACACGGAGATGACTCGATAACATTTACAGACATATTTAGTAGTTACTGTTTAATTTCAATTTCTTGTAATCTGCCTTACCGTAACTCTACACAATCCTCAGCTGCACCATTATGATTATTTGGCTCATAATTCAACCAGTTTGTGTAAATTACTGATCCACCAGTAGCATACTCATAGTTTTCATTATCACCGACTACATCATTCACACCAATCCAATAATTGTCTGTTCCAGAATGAAAAAAAAAACAAATTTGGAAATTATAAAACAATTTACACTGCAGTTTAAAATAATATAAAGACAAATTAATGATTGGAACAAAATTGGAATAGATATTCCAGATTATGATTAGTATTATACATGTGTCACCGTAACACCATAAGTTACAGCGTTTCGTAATTAAGATATTACCATATCAGGAAATGCGAATTCCAAATATGGAAGGATAACGTGCGTGAGCGTTCTCTATTAATAAAACAAACATGGCAGCCCCAAGCGCGAAGTTTAACCGGAACCCTACACAAAAAAGTTTGCTATTTTTTTTTTAAAAATTCGGCATTCCCATGATATATTCTTAGGAGGAAAAATGTTATATAATAATGTTATTGCGAGCTTACCTCAAAGCATGCAATCAGACAATACGCAGTTGACCCTGCCGCAGTGCTTTCTTCATGCATACTTTGCGGTATCCTCTTATTAATCTCATTCATCTGTGTATCAGTCCTGACTGTTATGACTTATATCACTATCATTATAATGTAATGATGTGTCAAATTACCTTCTCCCTCTGATAAAAAAGCTGTTACTGCATCCTGTTCCGCTTGAGAGCGGATCTCTGCAAGTTTGCAAGAATCACATTGTGATTCACATGCAGTCTTTGCGTCTTGCCATGGTATTTCATCAGTCAAAATTAAATACTCAGGGATACCTGTATATAACAACTGTATATGATTTAGTGACAAAGATATGTATTCATTACTTATGCTTGTCAAAGTATGCAACTATGTCTAAAACATATATGCATAAGGGAATATAAATTGTAAATCTTATACCAAAAGTACTTGTGTGTATTATATAATCTTAATCCAATAGAAAACTGATTAAAATTTATCTGGTCGTGTTTTTAATTTGAATTAGCCTTCCATGCCTACGTGATGGTTGGGGTACAGAAGCTATCACATTAAGATCTGAGAGAGGAACAACTTTTAATTTGCCATGACTACTTATTGAATGCTGGAATGTTTTCCTGTCACCAATCACTTACTGGTATAGTCAATGAAAAACGAACGGAAAAACTGACTAGTTAACTAACGCAAGTGTAGATACGCATCCCGGGGATAATAGTGTGTCAGAAAATCGCCATGATAAGTGACTAAATCCTTCCTGACCTAGTAAACTGTTTACATTAGGAAATAGTCAGCTAAGTCACTTCGAACATATATATTGCAAAGTGGTTCTTTGTAGCTTCTGTAGAGGTGAAAATTTGCAAACAAAAAGCTTAGATACTGGCGTGTTGCACTCGGTTTTAAAGGCATAAACATACAATTCTTTGCAAGATTCATAATTGTACAATCGCAGAACAAAAACACAAAAAAGGTCCACAGACTAGACTATTTCACTTGTATGACATTAAGTATATTTTAGACACCACAACAAATAAAAACATAATTATAATGCCACTCATGCCACTCATTCGATGATGTGTTCAGAGAAGGTAGTGGAAACGAATGTTTGGGTGGCAACTATTGTGTGCCAAATTGAGTTTACAGTTAAGATTTGAAATAGTTGGTAAGAGTTTAGCGCATATGGTGCTAATCCCGAGCCTTAATTTGCATATGCACGTTAGCTTGGCAATGAATATACAATGATTAGTTATATGTTATAATCGTATTGACATAAATAACAACTTACGCTTAACTTCGCAAATATAAGCCTTTTTATTGCTACAC